ATATATATATATATAGGAAGTTTAGTTGCGTTATTTTTGCGCAGGTGAAAGGTCACTTTCTCTACCTTTATTGAATTTCAGGCAATATCTTATATATTTATATATAATTTTTTATTTATATACATTCACACATACAATTTACGCCTATCAACATTTGTGGAGAAGTGAGAAAAAACAATGACGCAACTCCACTCAATTGCCAGTCTTGACTACGGCGACGGACGTACATGCGTGTGTCGTATCTGCGAGTGCGGTAAGCACAAGTGCGCTGAGGTGAAACTTCCCTTCTTTGGCGAGACCACGTACCGTGATGAATATGTGCCAAAGAAGACCGAGCGTGATGCCCTCCGCCGCGCCCGTGCTGCCGTCTTCCCCACAAAGGCAGAGCCCGGTCACTTCAAGACCACCAAACAAGAGGCGTGGGAGCCGCTGGAGGGAAAAGTAGTGCGGCCGGCGCAGTCCTTCAAACCCCGCGCCGTCCTCGGCGAGCCCCTCCCCTTCTCCGCCACCACCACCCACCGCAATGACTTCCCAGGACACATGCCGGAACACGAGCGGGCGCGATATAAACAAGAGCCGCTGCCAAAGCTGAAGGGCATTTATGAGACCACCAACGGCGCCATGCAAGCACCCATCAACAAATGCCTCGAGGAGGGGGCACTGCCAAAACCACCAAAGTCATTCCGCGGTGATGAGTCTCTCGGACAGGCAGTGCCATTCGACGGCATCGCCAGCTACACCGCCGACTACCCGCCAAAGCAGCCGCTCTTCCCACCAAAGACACGACAGGCACAAGAGCGCGCAGAAATCCCAGAGACGCGCGACTTTGAGACGACGCAGTCGGACGCGTACAGAGTGCCACCCCACCGACTGCGCCACGTCTGTCCATCCTCGTTGGTGCCGAAGCGGGCACCGTCTGTGGACGGTCACTTCAAACTCTCTGTGTACGACATTCCCTCGGGAGACATCCTGGACTAGACCTACGCGTGAATGGGCGAAGAAGAGAGGTGTAAAGAAAAAAAGAAAAAAGAAGTAGAGGGAAAGGGGAAAAAAGAGGGAGAAAGAAAGAAAGATGGTAAGGGAAAGGGAAATAAACGAAAGAAAAAAAAAAGGAAAACAGACTGATGGGCCCTTTTGGGGGGGGACCCTTCCTTGTTGTTTCGTTTTTTTTTTTTGTTGTTGTTGTTGTTGTTGTCTTTTTGTTTTTACTCATTCTACTAGACTTCTTTGGATCGGTTTTCGAACCAATGGGGAGTGACTGGTGATGAGTGAAATGGAGACGACAGAATTTCCCTCCTTCCTTTCTCTTTCTTTCTATCTCCCTCTTTTTTTTCTCATATACATACACTTATATATAGCAGAGACAAACTATCAAACTCTTTCTCTCTGCTTTTTTAAAAATGTTTATGTTTGTACTGCTACTCGCTATTGGAGTTTTTTTTTTTCTTATTTGTTTCTTTCCTTCCTCTTTGTGTTTTTTTTTTTATCTCTTTTTCACCCTTGATGTTTGTTTTTCATACCAGTTACCATCACTGAAATTGAGAGTGTTTTTTTTTTTTCCTTTGCTCACTTGCGAACTCATACTTTTTATGCAAGTTTTTCTGTATTTGTAATATATTTATATAAATATATATTTATATATATTTATATAATTTTTTTTAACTTGCGTTAAGGAGTTACAGCAAGAGGTATATATCAGATTTATATTTTCTTCTGTTTTGTCGTCTAGTCATCACTCTTTCTCTCTATGTTTCTGTTAACATTCATCTTGCAGAGAGAGAGATAGAGTGTTTCACGGAGAAGAAAAAAAAAAAAAAATCAATGCATAGAGTTTAAGAGAAGTGAGTAGGTAACAGAAGCAGAAGAAACTAAACAGAGTTAAGAAAGGAACAAACTCAATTTTGCATATATTGTATGTATATACACGTATGTATATGTGCTAATATGTACGTAGAAAGGGGGAGAGAAGAAGTAGAAAATGAAGTGTTGGTGGGTAAAAAAAAATATATATATATATATATATATATATACCGACTGTTGAAGATGACATGGAATATATCTGTTTATATGTCTTTGTGTCATCACCAACTGCGTCCCATCTCCCCAGGCGAGAATGTATTGCAAAAGAAAAGATGGATAGAAAGAAAAGAAGCAAAAAAAAAAAAAAAAAAACAAGTGGAAAAAAAAAACAAAGAACAACACACTAAGTGTTGGTGTATTGTTGTGTATGTGAGTTTGTGTTGTTATCTTTGTTTTTTTTTTCCCCCGTTGTTTTCGTTTGTGTGTCTGTACTTTTCTTTTTTTTTGTCAATCCGCCACTATATAAAAATTTTTCATGGACTTTCAGTTCCTGTGTATAAAGAGGGTTTATACATAGATACAAGTAAACATGTGGTAGAGCACAACTTATCTCAGTACTTTTTTTTTTTGTTTTTCTTTCTAATTCACTCTTTGATCTTTTTTTTTTTGTTTTTCTTCGAAGTTACAGGGAGCGTAGGAAAGGTTAACCAAATAAGGAGGGAAGGAAAGAAGAAAGAAAAGAGGGAGGAAGAAGAAAGCGAGAGTTTCTGTGTTTACACATTTGCATACATTATATAATATATATATATATATATAGGTAGATAGAAAGAAGGGAGAGATGCGCTCAAATTGTGTAGGACATTTGGGGAACGACACATTTATTGCGGCTACTCGCGATGAAACGGATAATATGTTTCTTGTGACTGGTAAATTGGTGGAGGAGCGCGTTACTCCCTATCCACTAGCACGGCGAGTGCGATTTATTCCTCTCAGCGAAATTATGCCAGCAATGAATGATGAAGAGGGAGAAGAAGAAGAAGAAGAAAATAGCACACCAGCAGCAGAAGCAGCATTATTAAGAACACCATCACCACCAGCAGCAGCGACAACGAAAAATGAATCTGAACGAAGTGATTTGAAAAATATGCGACATAGCTTTCACACTTCATTTGATGGTAAATTTGTTGCTGCCATCAGCAATGGACAGTTGATGCATTATTTAATTGATGTGATGAGTGCTCGCGTGAGTGAGTTCAGAACAAAAGAGTGTGTTATCAGTGTTGCTTGGCATCCAACGAGTAACGCACATTTACTTTTGCTGCTGGCGACCGGATCACTTCTTGTTATTCGCGCTAATAGTGCACGACTAAATGTTCTTTTTGAGGATGCCCGAGAAGTGAATCTCACAGCTATTATCGCCGACTTCAAGGATTACGTTTTTACTGGAAATGATCCTACTCTTACAACTGAACTGGAGGATCCTCGAGGGCGTAAACGTACTCTGATGTCTGAAGTGTCATTGGAAAGAATTGAACAGAAATCTCCTGCTAAAATGATTACACAATCCAAAGCGAAAAAAAGCACATCACGATCATCCTCATCCTCATCGTCATCTTCTTCATCTTCTTCTTCTTCCTCTGTTACGGTTGCTGGTGTCCCTGATGATATTTCCCCTCTTCCCGGTGTTCCATCGTCTCCTGCGCCTCAGACGGAGGCGATGTCCTCTGCGCTGGTGCACGTGCCATTCATGAGTGATGGAGTTTCGGTAATGGCGATGTCTGTTATTCCCGCAACCCGCAGTCTCCCTGTGATGTTGTTGTTGTTAACTCGCAGTGGCGACGTCTTTTCCATGAAACTCAGTGACGATGGATTGCCGGCGTCGTTGGGAAAAGAATACGACGGTCGCGTTGAGACTATTTTGGGCGAACAACCTGAAAAGCCCCGCGATATTGGTCCATCTCCATGTCTACATTACTTAATACGGGGTGGGACATCATGCTCAGGTTACGCCGAGCAGCCACTCGCTATTGGATCAGCGATGATAGATGAAGACGTTGGAAGATATATTGTCTTTGTGCTCTTCAGTAGCGGTGTACTGCGTGGTAGTTGGTTCAATGAACCGGATCTGCTTTGTCATGATCTCAAGAGGCAGCAGATGGATATTTCCATCGCCCTTGACGCTGCCCTATCACCAGAGTATTTATTACCCACTCGTGTTCTTCCCTGTATGACGCATCTTGTTGGAGTGCAAACTTGTGGAAATACAACTTTAATTCGCTACGATGATGCAGCGTATCTCTGTGTGTGGCCTATGTGGTCTCGCAAAGCAGCAGGATGGGTGTATCGCGAAGTTGGTACGATTGGATGTCAGCGACTGCCTGTTATTGGACGCAGTGCGGCAATTCCTGAACCCATCGCATTACGACTACCGTATGATGTAACAGATGCAGGTGTGTCCATTGGTGTAAATGATATTCTTATCTTTCCAGAAGTAGCTACAAAGTCTGAACCATGTAGACGCTCAAAACCAATGCTTGTAAAGATTTCTAGTATTATACTAGCCGCACTTTTCGCACGGGGAGAAGAGTATTCTCTGACGTTTGATGACCCTGATGATCCTGTTTCTTCTACTTCTTGTGGTGTTGGTGTTGTTGGTGGTGGTGGTGGTGGTGATAGTAGTAATAGTACGACTGGTACTGGTGATGGGAAAGAAAAGATTGAGAGTAGTGCGCATCATCGGCGACTTCAAAAACTACTTGAAATGACGGCTGAATCTTTTAATCTGTGGATCTGTGGTTATCCACATGATGCTATAGATAGTAAAACCGCCGTGTTGGCACAGGGTGTGAAGGATATTCACGAAGTAATGCAAAAACGTCATATGGACTTGCAGAGAAGAGAGGGACAACTCGCCAATCGTGTACGTCATTTAATGGAGAAACAACAACAAATGACAGAAGATATTGCACACTCGCAGCATATTGTACGCGAGGCGTTCATGCATCGCCGTGGAGTCGACTCACTCTATGCAGCCAACACAACGTTTGGTAAAATTCACAAATTATTAAATGAATTGGAAGCTCTTGTGGTGCAGCGAAAAACGAACAAGGTGAAGGATAACCAATTGTTAGTTTGTGAGGGAGAGAAGACATGCACAGAATCACACGAATGAGTGAAACAGAATAACGTTAAAAACAAAAAAAAAAAAACAGACGGAATTCCGAAAGAAACATATGAACTTGTTTTTTGTGGTGTTAGTTGAGCTTTTGTTCTTTTGTTTCTTTTTGTTTCTAGTGCAATCTCATCTTTGGTTTCTACGGGTTTTCGCTCTTTATTATTCTATTTTTTCTTTTTTTTTCTTGGTTTGTATTTTTAATATCACTACTCACTTGGGCAAGTGACTCCACAGAGGAGTGTAGTGGAGAGGAAGGAGGGAAGGAACTGGGGAAACAAAGTGATAAAGTGATATATAGAAGCTATTCGTATACGTAGATAAGATACACATATATATACATATATTTTTTTTTCTTGTTAAAAGAAGAAGGAAAACAGAAAAAAAAAAAAAAGTAAGGGTGTTTTGACTAGTGTCCCCCCCAACTCTGTGGGTGAGTGTCATTTACATTAAAAAAAAATATATATAAATGGCAGAATTGACAACTTTAACCGACAGCGTACTCAGTGGGAAGCAGGAGGAGGAGAATGTGCAACACTCACCCGGTAATGATGCCAGGATAATAGAAGAAGAACGATCATGTGAGAAGATTGCCCAACTGGCTGATGAGAATGCACGACTGAAGGTACGTCAATCACAACTTCAAGATCAACTGGAAGAGTTGAAACGTCAAGTATTCGCAGAGAAAAGTGCGAGACAAACTCTTACTGCAGAGTTGGAAGATGCAAAAGAACGTCTACAACGTTCAAAGGATCATCTTGATCAACAAAAGAGAGACTACAATGGACTTTCTTTGCAGTTGTGTACAGTGAAAGCAGAGCGAGATGAACTTGAGGCGAAAGTGAATGAGGTTTGGGAAAGTATGGCTGTATTGGAAGAGGTTGCACGAGGAAAAGATGCCACTAATCAATCACTACGTGAAGCACTTGATAATGAGAAGAGGGAAAGGGCCGCACAAGATGTACTTATGAGCGCTATGGTCACTCAGTTAGCTGGATTAGAAGAGCGAACGGGGGTTGTCGCAGAAGCAGAGGAACGACAACGGCGAGTCTTTGAAGAAACACTGCGTAGTATAAGTGAAGAGGCTCAACGGGTGGCACGCAAGTTAGAGAGTTTATCAGATTATAATTCTATCGCAACATTAGAACCTCAACGCAAGGCATTACTCCTCTCAGAGAATCCTTATAATGATGGTACATCCCTCCCTTCTAATGCAGGTGTTGTTAGCAATAGTGGTAGTCCAACAGATGATGGACTCAATACTTCTGATATGGATGGAGTAGATCGAGAAGAAACACAGTTAAAATCAGATATTCGTCTATTGAATCCCATTCATCAGGCATTACGGCACTTGCGTCGTCAGATTCAACAGGAACGTGAGGGGCGGTACAACATGCAGCAGGAGCGAAGTGTACTGGAGACTCATATTAGATCACTTAAGGATGAGTTACGTCGTTTAGGGGATGATAATGACGGTGTGCGGGAGAAACTTTTCAAGAGTGAAGCTCAATGGGCACATACTACAGAAACACTAGAAAGTATCCGACAGGCGCGTGCAAAGGAGGCTGCAGAATCTGCAGATGCACGTCGCAGACTTGCTCTCTTGCTCCATTCTCTGGATGATTGGTGTGTGATTGAACAAAGAGTATCAGATCTTATTCACGATACGCGGCGACTACGTAGTGTTCTTGAAGAAAGTCGACGGATGCACGAGACGTATGTACTACGAAAAGAAGAAGAAATGGACTCCTTAACAGATATGCATCAACGTGAATTAGATGGACAACAACGACAAATGGAGCAGATTAGACATGAATGTGAACGTTATAAACGAGCTGTAGGGGCATCATCTGGTCCTTTGGCTTTAAATACTTCTACTGGTGTTAGTGTTAGTGATAATTCTGCTGCTGCTACTACTACTACTACTACTGGAATTGGTAATACTAGTATAATTCACAATACTAGTTGTTCGCATGGGGCTACAATGACGGAGTTGCAGTTTGAACATGAAACACTTAAAGTAAAGTATTGTGAAGTTTTACAGTATGTGGAGACTGAACTAGAACCACTTGCGATGGAGCAAGCCAAAACCATAGAGAAAGAAAGAAAACGTTTAGAAGAACTGCAACAGACAAATGATGTTTTGCGGCGTGAAGTGTCATCTCTTAATAATTCACGCAAGGAAAGCAATGGGAAATTAACACTTTTCGAGGCCCTTGTTCTTACAGTCCGCGTACTCTCTGGTACCATGGCGGATATTCGTGAAATGGCACAGCAACGTACGGCCCTCACACGTTACATACTCGCCTATGAACAAATGTTCGGTCCTTTAAATGTTTGTGGGGATTCCACACGTTCACGTGCTGTAATGCGATTCCGTAGGGTTGTTGTGGGTGTGTTAGCGGTTAACCGTCTCCTTAAGCTCTGTCGTCTCACGTCTTGTGTGAATAGTCGTAACTGTAGGAGTTGTAGTGATATTATTATACCTGCAGAACGGCGACGTGGTGGTCGTATTCGTTTACCATTAGAAACATATTGTTTGGTACGAGATGGCCTCACTCAATTGCCACCTATTAAAAGAGGTGGGGATGGTTTAGAATACCTAAAAGATAGAGTTGGTAAGGGAAGAGGGGATGACGTTAATGATATTGTCTTTGTGAATGAACAGGATCTTCAGCTTCCTGTTTTGTCTCCGAAGGCATCTTCTGATACCTTAAGGATTGATGTGGTTTCGCAGTATAGTTCTCTGCGAAACTTTATAGACAGTTTACTATCGTTTGTGACTGTTCCTTCAGTACAACAGTCGTTGTATAGAGTGGAGGACCCACTCTGGCGTAGATTGTCCAATGGTCTGCGTGCACTGCAGAGGACAGCACGACCAAACCGGCATTCCACTCATAGTAGTGAACCCCACCGGTTATTGCATCTTCCGCCGCGTGTACCGGAGCGTGAGAGTATCTCACCGGAATATGCATTGCCGCGGTCAAACATCACCCATCCTGTTGTTAATACTAATAGTAATGGTAGTGTTGCTATTCCTATTCCTGTTCCTGCTGCTGGTAGTGGTGGTGGGGCACAGCGGACATCTCATTATAATTCTGAAAGTGCTTTTGCCAATCAAAAACGTCCAGCACGCGCATTATCATATTCCATCGGCCGCACGCATGAGAGTGATGTCGAAAAAAACAGCAACGTGTACCCAACCCCGCAGCCTATAGATCACAGTAAAGAAACTCTCCAGAGTGTTGAAGAGGCTCTCCAACGTTCGCTGCTTCGAGACGCACTTGATTGCAACAGTTCACAAGGAAGCCAAGTGGGAAATGGCTTTGTTGCTGAGGTGTTGAGTGTTATTCAGGCACTCGACCAACGTGTAATGGGGGCGTTAGAACATCGATCGAAGGTTGAAGAGTGGCGACCGAGACGTTGAAATGCTTGAGAAGTAAGGTGGGGGGGTGGGGCGAAGTGAAGTGAAGTGGAGTTGTTGTTTCTTGTTGTTTCTTTTTATCCTTCCATTATCTTTGCAAATCCTCATAAAAGAGGGCTACTCTCTACATATCTGGAAAGGGCAAAAAATAATTTAAAAAAAAAAACAAAACAAAGAAAAACTGTTTTCTGTTTGTTTGTTTGTTTTCTTCTTTATTATTATTATTTTGTTTTTATTTCTTGTTCTTGTTCTTTTTTCTTTTCTTACCATTTCTTTAAATTATTCAATCATCTTTTTTATTTCCTCTAGGGTATGCGTGGGTTAACAAAGCTCTACTGTTTGGCATGTGAGCAGGAGGGCTGTCTGTCAAACTCGTACCTCCTGCAGTTATGCAGAACTCTCGATGCATCAGAGGAATGCCCTGTAAACCTGGATCTTAGTTACAACTACTTGGGAGATGCGGGATCAGCCGCACTCTTACGTACAGTGGAAATAATGCGCTGGGTACGTGATATCGACTTGAGAGATTGCGGTGCCGGTCCTTTGGCGGTAAAGGCATTGATGATTGCAGCAGAAGAACATCCAAATCTTCGATGTGTTGATCTGCGCGGTACAAATAATGAGATTTTCGCTATATCAGGTAGACGATTATTGGAGTTATTACGACGCTGTCCAAAGTTAGTAGTTCGTGTTAATTATGATGATTTCCCACTAACATTAGCTCAAAAACTTCGGGCATGCAATCAGCACAATAAAAAGATGCAGCAAGAAGAAAAAGCTGCAATTAGGGCGGAAAAAATGGCTGCAATGCCTGTTCTTAAATCTTTAGAGAATGAAAATATTATCCAAGATGTTTTCTACTTACCCACACATGACCGTGATGGAAACCCCCTTTATACCGGTAGCAATGAAGTCTTGCTGCATTTAGTGGAAGAACTCAATACATATATGGAGGGATACTTGGAAAGTTACCAATACGTTGGCCGTGTTGCGGCTCAGTTGGCAGTTGATTTGGGAACTTCTATTCTTCCCTGCATTCGGGCAACAATGGTTGCAGTGCCCCCGTCGATTGCATCTCGAACAGGAAAAAAATATCCTGCGAATGTGGTACGATCTGTACGTGCTGTGGATGCACTCCTGCGTGGTCTGCGTGCGAATCCCGATCTTGTTGAGGAACTAGTCGCTACACGTGGACCTCTGTTGCAAAGATACATCTCGCAACTCACAGAGGCCCGTGGAGAATATGAGAGTCTCGTCTGCAGTCGTCATGGTGATTATCCATCCGCGCGGGAGCGGGAACTGGCAGCGTTAATGCGGAAATTGTACGGCCGTGTGGCGCCAACTGTGGGGCGGCGCAGAGAATGTGCGGAACTGCAGTCAGCCGTGCAGCGTGTGAGGGAATTGCCCGCTCATCTTCTTGCACAGATACGGTACTTTGCCTTCAATAACCCCACAAAAACAGTAGATTGGGCCATTGGTTACTTGCAGACGACAGATCCAGACCAACAAGAAGAACAAGAAGAAGAAGAAGGAGAAGGAGATAAACAAAAAGGGCCATCACGGGATAATAGTGATGATAATAGTGATGATGAGGATATACATGGAAGTGATGAGAATAGAGAAGAGTTGCCAAAACCGACTGGAATGCTTGCAGCTGCAATGAATGATCTCCGTGAGGTGCTGGCAGACCCGTATACCGCAGTTCGCTATGCAGTGACGAGACCACTCTTTGAAGCACTACCAACAGAGGTGCGATTCTTTCTATGTGATTTGGCGCTGCGTCGTGGGAGTTCTCTCTTTACCCCAAAGGTCTTCACGATCTTTGAAAAAGAACCAGAAAGAAAAGAAGGAGAAATGATGAATGAGGAACAACAAGAAGAAAAAAAAGTGAGAACAGAGTTGAATGATCCATTTGATATTGTTCGTATCTTTGAAAAGGTTCAAGGAAGAAAAGAACTATCTGATGTAATTTGCGCTTTTGAGGAGTGGTATCAGTTATGTCAAGTGGAGTGTTATGATGTAACTCACGTGAGTCGGGAAGAATTGATATCTGTCATGTCGTCAATGTAAAGAAAAATATACAGTTTAAACTGCGTACATCTTGCAATAGTTCAAGAGAAAAAAAAAAGGAACTGATAATGAGAATCATTTTCGCAACAAATAAAAGGTTGAAGTGTATTCTGGATATATGTATTTGTTTAAATTTATATATTTTTTTTCTTGTTTTTCTTTTTTAGGAGGAAGGTACGAGGAAGATGCACGGGAAACCTTCTCTCCCGCGAGAACCTCTTGAAGTACCGCATCGTGGCATTTCTCTCACACACCCATCAAATCCTGTTATCTTTCTGGACATGTTATGTCCGAAAAGAGTAGTGGTAGCGAATGCAGCGACTAGTGGAGATCATGAGGAACCGGCGGACCGTTTTCTTTTTGAAATCTTTGCCGATTTAGCACCCACATTGGCGGCAAACATTTACAGTCTCTGTGTGGGGAGTTCCACCCGTCTCATTGATCAAAGACCACAACCTGCTGGCTACAAGGGAACTGTAATTCACGATGCACTAGTTGGACAATATCTTATTGGTGGTGATGTGATGGGCAGTAATGGTAGTGGTTTCTTTTCGGCTTTGGGTGAGCGACAAGGGCCGTTGATTGTGCCACCTGATGAACTGAAAGCTCTCACAGAAATTGGACTCTCTCGATGTCAACATTCCCCAGGAATTTACATGCATTATTGGAATTACACACCTGGATCCGTAACAGTAACACCGGGAACACTAAAAGTAGCATCAACTCTACGTATTGACGTTGTTGAACGTGGTGTGGACGATAATAAGATGCCATCGGATGCTATTCTTATAGGTCGATTGGTCTGCCGTGATGCGGAATCTCGGGAGGCGGCAAAGCGTCAGTTGATGGAATTGACGAAAGCAGTTTTCCACGCAAAACGAAGCGGGATGCCGCAGTTATTACCCACAATTTTGTTGTGTGGCGAAATGTGACATGATTAATAATAATAATAATAATAATAATAATAATAATAATTATTATTATTATTATTATTATTATTGTGTTTCATCTTGCACGTTTGGTTCTCTTTCTCTCTTTTTCCCTTTCTTTCTCTCTCGTATTGAAAACAACAAATAAACAAAAGAACGAGTGGAGAGAAAGGAAGAGGAGCAAGAAGAAGAAAAATTCAATGTTTTTATGTGGTCACTGGGTAGGAGAGTAAAAGGTGAGGTTGAAACAAAGAGAGAGAGAAAATTCAATCTGAGAAGGTATCTCAGTCTTTAGTGTTGCTTTTTTTTTTTTTTTTGACTCCACTCTTTTTTTTTCTTTTTCTTCTTCTTCCCTTGATATACTGCGAATTCAAAAAAAAAAAAAATAGAAAAAAAGGGGGAGGTGGAAATGTCTGCCTCGCCGGGAGGAAGGCGCGTCGTCATTGCGTTATGTGGCTCAGAGAAGAAACACCGTCAGTCTTTTGATAGACTCCGACAATATGTTGAAAGTAGACGTGAAGTTGGCGTAGGAAACGGCACTGCGAATGGTGGTAATGGTAATGGTAGTGGTAATGGTAGTAGTAGTAGTAGTGGTATTATTGCTACTAGTTGTGATGCTGCTGCTGTTGCTACTGCGAATGTGATCTCCTTCTCCATTGTAAAGTTGTGCTATGATGATAATAGCAATAAACTCTTTACAGAGACAGGTGTGGATGAGGATGTAGACGTGGTACTTCATAAGATCAGTACACTTCCTTCAAAGGCAGCAGTCGCATTGAAAGAGTGGTGTGTCGTGACTTCACGAAAACGTCTCCAAAAACAACTCTCTCCTGTTATTATTATTGATCCGATGGAGTCCACACGACTTGTATTGCAGCGTTCTTTTGTGTGTAAACTATTTGACGGTCGCCTACGACGGCCATTGTGTCTAACACTCCGTTCATGGCTCTGGACACGTAATAGTGATGATGCCATGATGCCGCTTGGTATCTCCTCCTTTGTGTTGGGAGATGCGATTGCGTGTGAGGTCCCCCACTCTAGTAGCATGTGGAGGATAATGAAACCCGATTTAAGTACAGGTCCACCCCACACTCATCATATGGTGGTGTGGAAGGGCAGCAGCGACCCGGAGACCCCCGTACCAGAGAAGGTACAACGTTTATTACCAAAAGAATTTGATACGTTTGTCTTGCAGGGTTTTTTGATTTCTTCTATTCCTGTTGTGATTAAGGTTTATTGTATCGGTACAAGTGTTTTTGTAAAAGCAGTTTCTACAACTCCATTACTGCGGAAAATTTTGGCAGGTGCGGGGGAACCTGTATTTGTCGATTCCCAGGTTAAATATCCAGATGAAGAAGGATGGAAAGAGCAAGAAAAAAATTGGAAGAGTTTTCTTGCAGAAGGTGGGCGGATGTATACAACTTGTAGTCAAATCTCCTCTCATATAGCAGAGGAACTTCATCTAAGTTTATTTGGATTTGACTTGTTATTAGTCCCTCATCATTTATCTCGGCATGATAGTTTTCTCTTAGATGCTGCCGCAATTGCAACACCAGAGATGATACAAACCACTTCGACGACAACGAATGGAATATCATCAATATTACATGAAGAAAATCTTTTCGATAAAACTACTGGAACCCCTACACCGCTACTCTCTTCTGCAGTCCCAGTATTGGTTGACGTAAACTACTTCCCAGGCTTTTCAGGTATAGAAAATGCGAGTGAAAGTCTGCTGGAGGTGATTACATCTAAGGTAATGGGAATTTCTGTCACAGAAACACGCCAAACCTCGCACAAGAAGCTATCTACGTGTGGCTGCTGCTAGGATAAACATCTCTTGTATGCCAACGTATATATGATATTAAATATATATATATATATATATATATATATGTTTAATATTATTTATTTCTTTGTTTGTTTAATTGGTGTGGGTGACATAAACAAAACAGAAAGGGAGGAAAGAAAAAAAAAAAAAAAAAAACGTGATTTTTTGACCTATTCTTCGGATAAATTTAAAAATTCACTGATCTTCTCAATTATTTCAAGAGGTACATTCCCTCAAGGCAATACTTATTCTTTGTTAGTCGATTTTTTTTTTCTTTTTTCATGTTCTTCTCCTCGTTATTTTTCTTTTTTTTTTTTACAGCTACTAGCCAAAGTTGCTGAGCGTGGTGGAGAAACCGCATAAATACATACATACATACACAGGGAAGGAGTGTGCAAGAACTGCCAGACCTGTTTGCCATTATATATATATTTTTTTTTTTTGGGGGGTTGGGGGGATCATACAAGGAAAAAAAAAAAAAGACATAAATAACGCAAAGGGAAAAGAAAAACTACATAGAAGTATATAGAGATGAAGCAGAATATAGATGAAGAAAAAGAGATAGATACAGTCTCGCATACGTCATCATTGAACGATTCATGGCGACGTGCAGCGCCTAGCAGTGCCTTTCCTCCAACGCTACCACCTAAACACCCTGCTTCTAACAGAACAACAACTACTACAACAACTACTACTACTAATGCCATACAACAAACAAATAGTCACGCCGTACCCACGTTAATACGTGATGGTACGATGACAACACAAACAACAGGAATACAGCACCCATTTATCTCTGCAGCGGACTATAGTGATCGCAAGCGATTACTCGCACACATCACATTTCTTAGTGGACAGTTACAGCGAGCGGAGATCATGCTGCAGGGTACCTCCTCCCGTCCTGTGGTCTCAGAGACGGAGTTGGCACGATTTGATCCCGTCATTGCACAAGCGCAGATTGATCGGCTGGACAGCGCCCTTGCACAGATTGGTCTGCTGCGTGAGGCGGAGATGGACCAGAGCCGGGCGCTGGCGGCGGAAGTTGCGGAATTACGTGGAGAGCGAAATCGTCTGGTGGAGCGGGTGGATGCGTTAGAGACCGAACTCACCGCATTGCGTGGAGAGCGGGAGGAATTAACAGTTCAACTGCGGGAGGCCACAGAGAAAATTACATATAGAAAGAGAAATGAGGAGTTTGGGTATGGAAATGGATATGAGGGAGTTCGGGTGGTGGTGGCGGCCCCGCGCCGTGGGACCGTTGGTGTAGGGCACGCAGTGGAGGAACTGCAACTGCAGGAAACAGTGCAGCGTATGCAATTACTGTTGGAGATGTTTATGGAACCCATATGTATTGCCTTTGATGCCGGTGTAGTGTGGATAACAGAGACGGAACTCCATCGTGCCGGTGTGCAGATTGATAATGCAGTTCTGCCGGAGGTACATAATGATAGCAATGAGCTTCCAAGGGCAGTAGAGTCCAATCAACAATCCTCACAACCCAACATGGATAACACTAATCTGTCAAGTAAAGAAATATGGAGAGAAAAGTTGGAGACCATGGAGGAGAAGTGTCGTAACGCTGAGCAACAAGTGGAACGGTTGAAAAAACTTTTACAAGAAGAACAACAACGTACAGAGTCCATGGCAAAAGAACACTGTGAACAATTGGAACAGGTACACGATCAGGTGGTACATGAACGACGGCACATTATGGAAAGTCTTATGGCTGAAGTAGAGGAACAAATGCGGAATGCATTCCGTGATGGAAGACTCTATGAAAAGAAACTTGCAGAAGAACGTCGAGAAAAACAACGGCAGAGATATACTACAGGTCAGAAAAAGACCATAGTGACATCATCACGAGATGATACCACAGTCTCTATACGACAGGAAGGGAGAGGAAAATCAGTTCCATGTGCATCATCTACATCAGAAAATTATGTAGTGACCAACAGTAGTGATAGTAGCAGTAGTGGTGGTGATGGAAATCGTCGTTGTTGCTCTGGGTTTATACACAGTGGAACTTCCATGGAGGTGGATCGACGGATAAAAACCTCAACCAGCAAAGAGGGACGTCATGTAAGGTGATAATTTGGTGGAAATGATGGTTTGTTGTGTACACAGTTTATTTCATTCTCCTTTATTTGTTTTTTTGTTTTGTTTTGTTTTGTTTTGTTTTTTTTACCTTTCTATCAACCTCACTTTTGTGATTTTAGCGAATACTTATATCAAAAGGGGAGGATTATTAAAAATATGTTCTCTACGATTGTGTATATGCACATTTTTTTGATTTCTCTCTCTCTCTCTCATTTATACGTGTTTTTCTTATTTGGGTATATATGTATATTTTTTTTTCCTTTTTAATTATTTATTTTCACTAGTAGGCGATTTCTATATATATATATAGAGAGAGAGAGAGAGAGAGATCATGGCCGCCCCTCTCACAGCGATGCTTCTCCTCGCGGGGGCCTATTACGCCGCCCGACTCGCCCCCCGCGTGGCCCAAAGAGTCGCAATGGCCCAAGGCGGCACCGCAGCCGCAAGTGCCTTTCACACACATCAGCCGTACCGGCGATATGAGTCCAGTTTTGAGAGTGTGATGTCTGAGCGGGAGGCGCTGCTGCTGCTCGGTTTCTCTGAAAAGGTCGCGGATGCCACTTTCACTCGCCCGTCCGAGCAGGAGGTGAAGGAGCATTACTACAAACTGATGAAAAAACTCCATAGTGACGTGGATGGGAGTCCATTTGTAGCGGCAAAGTTAAACGAGGCAAGAGATTTGTTAATAAAACGATAAATTGTATATATCCATTGCTTCAAAAGGAAGAAAAAATAAAAGAAAAAAGAAAAAAAAACGTACACTTTTTTGTTCTTGTTGTTTAAACTACGGAATAAAGGAGGGTAAAAGAAAAGTGTGAAACCCCTCATTTTTTTTTTTTTTTTGGACTGTTATACCTGTTTGATATTACACACTCCTATACTATTTACATACATGTGGTCTCTTATTATTTTTATTTTTTTTAATGGTTCGTTTTAACAAATATACAATATACACCTATTTGTTATCTTTAATAGTTTTAACTTCCTCTATATACTAAACCATGACAAAATCAACAGTTTCACTTGCTTTACTGCAATTGATTCTCTTTTCGCTTCTGCTGCTCATATGCACTGAAGTACATGGATCTCTTTATGCCAGCCATAATGGAGATCACTCTGTACAAAAACGTTTACAAGAGTGGATGTGTGCCTCAAAAGATACCTGCGTTAAAAATTTTGAGGAAGAACCTATTCCAAGACTAATACACAAATTCATCAAACGGCTGGAGGATGTATGGTCAGAAAATAATGAAACTGGAAGTAACAATACTTCTTTCAGTGAGAGTCAATACTCATACTTTGCGTTTCTTCCCAAATATATGGGTAGCGTTATTCCTGATGGTGTGACAGTTAATTTCTCAACCAAATGCTTTGAGAGAGTCTCAGTTACAGCACGTCATTTAACCACTGAGAAGATGGAGATTATTGTTATCCCCAGTGAAGCAAAGAGTCTCCTTTGTGTGGATCTTTTTCTTCTTGAAGGAGGTGGTGGTTATTTACTAAAGGAGATAGCAATTCTGAAACCACACCGTTATACCATGGATGTTTCGTTGGCAACCAAAAACAAAGCTGAGGAATGGTATCTGCTTACAAAGGGTATTCGAATCCATCTCTTCCCAGGCACATACTTGGATATGATGGGAAAGATCATAAAAACTTTAAATTTGTTTAAAGGACATTTTACCCCTTCTATTCCCCCAGACGCTCTTACTGCTAATATGGAGTTTATGCGAGATTACGTTCAATCCTCTTCACGAATGTCTCCACCGGTGGGTCCACGTACAAGTGGTTCACTCGTCGCACGTTCATTAAATACCACTCTTATCTCTAGCGGAGATGTGTTGATGATATTGCGAGCAGACGGTTTGAATCCAATGATTGGATGGGCAGAGGGCTCCACTGTTGGACACACAGCAGTGGCAATGCGTGATAAAGGAAATCATCAACTCTTCATTTGTGAAAGTACAACATCTGGTGCACACTGGCCAATAAATGGTGTACAATGTAATACATGGGAAAAGTGGCTTCAATTGGTTGAACGGGCTGGGCATAATGTATTATGGATGCCATTGGCACCAAAGTATCGTTCAAAGTTTAATACCACTGCTGCTGAAAGTTTCCTACGAGAGTATGTGGGTGTTGATTATGGATATACTACGTTTCTTTTCGGTTGGTTAGACACTGTACGTGATAATTTACCGTGTTTACCGCCTTATTTCAACACGGCGTGTTTAACACCGGAGATGGTGGAAACAGTACTGGTATGGATGGATCGTGTTATGGGTACCAATCGACACAATATTGTCAGACAGGCCTTTACACATCGTGTAGGTCGATGGCCCGACTCCCTCTCTGTTGTGGAGTCACTCTTTACAGCTGCAGAGGAAGGTGGGAAGAATGTAAGTTTTGCGGATATTTATCAAATACCAGAACAAGATGAGTGGCTGTACACCACAACAAGAGGAAGTGGACCCACTCAGACAGAAACAGTGGTGGAGGTGGTATCCAAGTCTATGGTATGTTGTGTATTGGTCTGTAATGTCTGGAAGGCAGCTGGATTGTTTGATGCTATTGGAAATAAATTACAGTGTGGAGAACAGACCTTGTGGGATATTTATTCTATGAAAGTATTTGACAAGGATGCGATGTATGCAGGAAGACCAGATGTGTGCAAGAAGTATGATCCGGAGAATGCATTCTGTCAACTCACAGGGAATCTCTCACTGTTTCTGCAGCCTGATGTAAATACACGTGAACTCTACCCACATATGGGTGAACGTTGCAGTAGCAGCGCACCAGATTATGTTCGAGATAAAAAATGCTGACAATTTAAGAAGTAGAAGAAAAAAATAATAATAATAATAATAAAATGAAAAAAAAAAAAGTGAGTCCATATTTTTTTTCTTCTTGCTAGTGTGTTATTTCTGCTCCTTTTTTTTTATTTATCTATTTACTTTAGATAAGATTATTTCGTCATGGTAGATATTCCTTTCTATTTTATTTTCCTTCTTTTTTTTTTTTTCCTCTCAGTGATGTGCGTTCTCATTTTATTTTATTTTTCCTTATAATTATTATTATTTGATATTGTTAGTGGGGTAGAAGGGAGGAGGAAAAGTCTTATGCCTTATTTTTTTTTTATTTTTATTTTTTATTATTCTATTTGTGTGTGCGTGAATATATTTACACATCTTGAAATACCACATTGGTGTTTTTCTTCCTTTTTCTTTCTTTATTTGTTTTACTTTCCGTATACATACATACATACACAGGTGAGAGGAGGTGGAGGAAGAAGAAGAAGAGGGAAGTGAGTTGTTTGGTGGTGTTCTCTCTCTCTCTCTCTCTCTCTCTCTCTGTGTGTGTAAAGAGAGAGATCTGCAATGTTGGTGGAAGTCGCTGAAAGACTTCAAAGAGTGCTGGAATCAGCAGCCCAGCATCTATACAATGGTGATCACATTAGTTGCTCCCTGGCGCTACTGCCCACTGCTGCGATGGACACAATGCCACACCCGTGGGGAATGGCAGATGTCGTTAAGCCACAGCAGCAACAGCAACAGCAATCATCACAGGTTGAATTGATTGTGGGCCTGAGCAAAACGATTGTATCAGATGCCCTCACAAGATATCTTTTCGAATTGCGGAAACGAAAAGAGCAACAGACATCTCAACTGTTAACAACGGAAGAGAAGAAAACGGGTCCAACACTTCTGGCGCCTCTTGTGCCGTATCTCACAACGGAGATTGTGTTATTGGCGTTATTATTTCTACCATCTCATTGTACTCTTTGGAATCAACGACGTCAATCACTAAATACATTTCTTCATAGCGATAGTGTTGATATGCATGATGGCCAACACCGTCGTCGTTCTATTCTTATTGTTTTATTGCAGGAATTACTATTCACATCACTGCTATTGAGTTTTTATTATAAGATGCAGGAAGTATGGGTATATCGCTGGTGGATTGTACAGGAATTATTGAAAAGAGGTGGAATCAATGTGGAAGCTTTCCTTTGGCATGATCGTCTAGTCTTGCAGGAAGCAGCTGATAAACATCTTATGAATTATAATGCGTGGAATTACCGAAGGAATGTTTTTACACGTATTCTGGAAATGGAAAAGAATGAGACGGATGTAGACATTGAAGAAGAAGAAGGAAGAGGAGGAGGAAGAGTGCAACAACTGTTTCTTGAAGAAACGAATATTACTTTACGCTTCTTTGAGACTCACAACGCTGACACCTCCGCTGTATCTTATCTTATCTTTCTTCTCCAGCAAGCTTCTACTATCTTTTCTTCTTCTTATCCTGATGTTACTAGTGACGATCCATTATCCCAATGGAAGTTATTTCTCCCTTTTCGTATTTGGCGTTTACTTCTGCAAGCCAGCGCGCGGGAGTTAACACGACATTGCGATAAGGGACATGAGGCGGTGTGGGTATTGCGATTGGCACTCATGCAGTGGGCGCTGCAAACACGGCCGCCGTGTGGATGGACACTGCGGGATGAACTCGAATACATTATGTTGTTTGCAGCAGCCGCCACTAGTGTGTGGAGAGATGAAGAGGAGGAGGCGAAGATTAGAGATGTCACGTGGTTGGATGTCTCGGGTTCATACAGATGGACATCATTCCACGCCGCACGTTATGGTCTGCAATTACTGCAGATGGTGCAAACTGCGGTTTGAAATGTTATTCTTTGTTATGGTTATTGCGATTGTTGACCTTTTTTTTTCTCATTCTTTCTTTTCTTTTGTTTGTGTTTATTATTTCTAGTGTACATACAGTCATATACTCTCTGTGTGTCTATCTATCTATCTATCTATCTGTCTCTCTCCTTCTTTTCTTTATTTACGATCAAGAAGAGCGACTGGCACACGCCATACGCAATCCATCATAAATCGTATATTCTCTTTTCCCACATACACTTAGGTACATTCACACACTTTCTCTCAATCCCAATATCATTGTGTCTATCTATTTATCTATCTATATCTGTGTGTGTAATTCACAATGACAGAGACAGCCCCGTGTTGTTTTGTACTCCGCGCTGACGGCCACGTACACGCAAGTGATGTTCGTCACGTCTCATCTAACGCTGGCCGCATCGCCACCGCCTCACGCGATCACACCGCAACAGTCCGCAGTGCCGTACCGCATGGTGATGATGTTCCCGCCGGCTGTACACTTGTCGGCCACACCGCATTCGTTAACTTTGCATTATTGTACGCCGCCGCCCCGCTACTGGAGGGAAACACAGCAGTTGTTACTGGCTCGAATGATGGACACATCGCACTGTGGGATGCAGAGACCGGCAAACTAGAAGCGGTACTCAGCAGTCACACACAAGGTGTTTGTTGTGGCACCATCACTGCTAGTAAAGGTAACAATATGGATAGTACAAGCAATAATAATAATAATAATAATAATAGTAATGATGCTATTGTTACAGGCGATTGGGGTGGTGTCTGTCTGGTGTTTGACGGTACGACTGGTCGTGTACGCCAGAGTTACACCGCACATAAAACAGCAGTGCGGGGTATTACCGCGTTGCCGGGAACCACAAATATTGTAAGTGTATCAGGTGACACTACTGTACACCGCTGGGATGTAGAAACAGGTAAAACTCTCGCTATCTACACTGCACATAAAGATGCTGTACAGTGTGTTTGTGCTTTGAGTTCCACACGATTTGCCTCTGCTGGAAATGATGCAACCATCATGGTGTGGGATACGGCGATGGGAACCACACCGATGTGTGTACTTGCAGCTCATGACAGTTCTATTTACGGTCTCTGCTATTGTACAGAACGGCGACTGCTCTTTTCCGCTGCGGAGGATCACACAGTGAAGGTGTGGTGTGGTGGTGTGGTGGATATTAGCACATCACCGCAGTCTCTTGCCAACACAGATGCCGCTGCAGCCGCTGTTGTGCAAAGCATTAGTCATCCATGTGTGGTTTGGTCTGTATGTCTCACAGAAACAGGAGATATTGTTACGGGTGGTTCTGATGGTATTCTCCGTATTTGGACTACAAATGAAGATCATATGGCGTCTGTAGAGAAGCTGCAAGCACTTGAAGAGGCTATTGCAGCTCAAAAATTTGATGTAAAGGTTGTTGGTTTACCTCCTAATATGGATACGTCATCCCTGCCGTGGGTAGACGAGTTACCACAACGCAAAGGTACCGTGGAAGGAGAACGACTGCTTGTACGTAGTGATGCTGGGTCTATTGAAGTCTACACATGGAACTCTGGCCGCTGGGATAAACTAGGAACTGTTGTTTCTGGACCGGATGGGACAAACTACACAGGTGCAGGTCAGTCCAAACCAAAGGTTTATCATAATGGTGTACCACACGATTATGTCTTTGATGTTGATGTGAATGGAAAAATGCTTAAACTTACTTACGATAAGGGACAAAGTGTCTTTGATGCCGCGCAGAATTTTATTGATTCCAACAGTCATGTAGTTTCTCAAACCCATAAAGAAGAGATTCAAAACTTTATTTTAAATAATGTAGATCCACAAGATATTCAATCTGGGGATGGGAATCCCGCTTTGGCTTCTGCAGCCGCAGCCGGTGGGGCTCAAGACTCGGGTGAACCTCTTTTCTCGGAGTTCGCACGGGAGGCTGCGGCGATGCGGCAGGCGGGCAGCACACATACACCCAGTTGGAGTGAAGCCCTGCGCAACTTGGAGAGTGCGGGCGTCCCAACAGATGCCGTTGCCTTCTCAGGATACGCACGAGAGCAGATGGAACTGGAGAAACAAAGAGCAGCAGCAGCAGCGAATCCTGCAGTGGGATCATCAGAGAATGAGCAGCCTAATATTGCTGTTTGGGATGGTTTTAGGTTTTTTACTACTTTTAACGCGAACGGGGCACAGACAAAAATAAATGAATTGACTGGAGATGCACAGTTTAATAAACTAGTAGAAGAAGTACTAACGGCGGCAAAAAGTGAACCAAACGTTGCTATTATGAATGCTATTATTGCATTATATCACAAACTCCCAGAGTCTTCTCGTTTTCCCGCTATAGATCTTCTTAGCTATTTGTTAGCTATTGCCTCCCATCCATTTGAGTGGGTGATGCTTCTATTAGGGAATGGGGATAGTCAAAGTACAGCACGTGAGTTTATGCAAGAACGTGTGGCCAACATTCGTACAGCTCCAGACGCGGAAACTCTCGTCACACTACGTCTCTTTGCTCACATGGTAGCCGCATTGGGTAAAGCCCCCACCACAGCCATTCTCACATTTGATCAACGTGAACTACTGTTGACAGCTCTCACAAAGGCACCACAACCATTCTTAAGAACGACGAAAAAGAATATTAAAACGGGTATTAGTGCGGTTGTGCGAAACACGGCAGTTTGTCTCTCACGTCATTCGGCGGTTTTAGGTGATGATGGGGCGAGTGAGTTTACATCTGCGCTTGTGCGTCTTGTGGCGCAGTGGCTTATTTTTGAACCCAGCGACTCTCCATATACACGAGATCTCGTTTCTACAATACTGACGCTTGTGCAGACCAATAATAATAGTAGTAGTAGTAGTAGTAGTGATTCGAGTAGTGTAAACACGATAACGGCTGTAGCGGTGGAAGTGGGCCGTAGTACACTAGCACACACAATGCGGGTATTAAAGGAGTGTGCAGAGCCGCAATGCCGAGAGGCGGCAACCAATATTTTAAATATATTCAATGAGGCAGAATCTCATTAATTTGAACGGAATTTGTATCATCTATTACCCACTCCATAACTACACGTATCCCTTATTGTTCGTATTTTTCTTTGTTTTTGTTTGTGTGTGTGTGTGTGTGTGTTGTTGTTTTTTTCTTATTTATTTTCTTTCTTGGGGTAATGCTACGTTGAAAATATATTTGCTCTTGCTGTTGCTGAGACAGTAACAACAACAACAACAATGGAAAAAAAAAAAACAATGGGACACATATATATATATATATATATATTTATATATATGTAGAGAAAGAAAGAGAGAAATTGCGTGGCAAATAGTCCCATCAGCGGTAACATTCTTTCAATAGAACGTGATAATCCATTCTTTATTTTTTTTTTTGTTTATTCTTCTCTATATGTATGTATGTATGTATGTGTTTTTGTATTCTTTCCTTGTATGTTTTTTTCTTTTTCTTTTTCTCCTTTCCCATCTTTCTTCTTTTTAAAAAAGTAATATCTTCAACTACTCGGCAACCAGTACACGTACACTAACACTAGCAGAGAGTAAGTAAAAGAAAGAAAGAAAGATGGAACATGAGCCATGCGTCAGCTTTGTAACGCTTAGTGGTATGGACTCACCAAAGCCACTCATCTGCGAATCTTTTCGTCAGGCACGTGTTGCTGCATTGCATTTCCTGCGCAAACGGCATCCGGGGAATAAAGTTCTCTTTGAAGCCTTATCGCAGTCATCATCTCCAGGCATTTCGTACTCCAGTGTCTCGTTTGAACACAATAATAATAATAATAATAATAATAATAATATTATTAATAATACTGATAACAACAGTAGCACTGACAGCAGTCTTAATGCAGATGATGAAACTGCCCGTTTGCGACTCTTTCCATATACACCGTCAGTAGCAGAACCGCCACGTCACTCAAATAGAGGTCTGTTGAATGAAACAGAATCACTTCAGTTAAAACATTCAGCAGAATATGAGTTTCTTGTTCCTGCCATTGGTTCTGCACTTACTAGCACGGTTACAGCTCATGAAGTCTGGCGAAAGCAGCAGGAGGAATTGCGTCAACGGCGGTATAGTGCAGGAGATGAATTGCCAAGTGTTGTTCTTCTAACTACACCCCGAAATGTAGCGAACACCAGCGTTGATAATGAATTCCCTTCAAATAATGAAAAAACCTTGCGTGAATTGTTTAGTGTATTTGAAACAACAGATGTACCGCCTATTTCATTGCAGGAATATGTGCGTCGAATGACAGAATATGCATATGTTTCACCATCGATATTATTGATCGCCTGTCTTTATATTGATCGACTCCTCACCCGGCATCCATCCTTCCTCCTTAGCCCAACAAATGTTTTTAAATTTTTTGCCACTTCGGTTCGTGTTAGTAGTAAAGTGATGGACACAAGAACTCTTAACAACAAGGATTTTGCCCGTATCAGTGGTTTTAGTAACACGGAGATGAATATCCTTGAGGTTCTCTTTATTCAAGCCCTCGAATTGGATCTCTTTGTAGGAGCAGAAGACTTTTATAAATACGCGGAAGACCTTATTGCCCCCACTACTATTTCTCGTCATAGTGATTCTCATGATGTGGAGATTGTTCATGTGGTGAGATCTCCCTCCGTGATGTCTGAATCCGCCACACCACCGCATAAACGATTCCTAGCCCCCATTCACCGTACCAGCAGTCATAGCAACAGCAGCAACAGCCGGCGGAACAGAACACTTCCAGACACCCTGCCGCCTGTGAACAGCTCACGCATCCTCTCCACCCCCGTGGATAGTAAATCCCCCAGTCCATCTAAGAGCACAACGAGTACGACGACTTTGGCTCCTGTTGTGATTGGCGTTGGTTGTCACTCGGGCAGAGGGAACGGCTGCAGCACCACCACTCTCTCCTGGTCGCGGTCCACAACTGTGGGACTTCCCGTTCCCGCCCCACCGCGTAGGGCCTCATGTCTCCCAGTGGCCTCCGCAAAGAATAGCACCACCATGCTGTGTAGTATAGGCGATACCAGCACTTCCGCAAGAGGCTGGGATCGATTGTCAAGAGAGAGAGTGGAAGAAAGATTCGTCAGATGATAATAATAATAATAATGTCCATATAAGAAGAAGGTGTAGAAAAAAAAAATGTCCATTTTTTTTTTTTTTTTTTTTTAACAAGCTTTTTACTCCCTTTCTCTCTCTTTCTCTCTCTTTCTTTCATCTCCCTCCCCCTCTCTCCATATTATATATATATATATATATAATATGAGTCAAAAGAGATATGGATTGTTGGGAGAAGAGGGGGTGGATGAGAACCAGAAGGCGACGACCCGAGTATAGGAGGAAGAAGAAGAGGAGGAGGAAGAGGAAGGGAGTAAAAAAGAACAGAGTAAATAAATAAAACCGAGGTAAAATTTATTTTTGGAGGAAAAAAAAATACCAAAAGAAAAGAGAACCGTCATTTCACCATAATTCCTAATAATAATGAACAAAAAGAAAAAGAATAAAAAAACGTGCTTAAAGAGATCAAAAAAAAAAAAAAAAATGGGGCAATTAGATTAGTTTTCCGATCGCAGAAAAAAAAAGACGAGGTGTAAGGATTTTTTTTTTTTTCTTTGTCGGTGAATATTTTTCTGAGGGAATTTGAATAGGAAAAAAAAAAAAAACGTTGGCCTTCTTCTGCGAGTGATCCCATTGCTTTTCTTGTTGTTTAATGTTTTTTTTTTTTTTTT